TTGTTATCTTATTAATCGTATGCCATCTTCAGCTATCCAAAATCAAGTTCCATTCTCTGTCATGTTTCCCCGCTTACCTTTGTTCTCTCTTCCACCCCGTGTCTTTGGGAGTACGTGCTTTGTTCATGACCTTACTCCAGGAAAAGATAAGTTAGCTCCTCGTGCTCTTAAGTGCATATTTCTGGGTTACTAGAGAACGCAAAAGGGATATCGATGTTATTCTCTTGACCTTCAGCAATTTCTTATGTCTAGTGACCTTGTATGTCGGTTGTGCCGGTCCCGCTATGGTCAAAAGCAGTCTCCTCGAGCCTGGTTTGGTAAGTTCAGCATAGTTATTCAGGAGTTTGGTATGACTCGTAGTGAAGCTGATCACTCTGTATTTTATCGACATTCTGCTTCAAATCTCTGTATTTATCTGGTCGTTTATGTTGACGATATTGTTATTACCGGCAATGATCAGGATGGTATTAGTAAGTTGAAGCAACATCTCTTTCAGCACTTTCAGACTAAGGATCTGGGCAGATTAAAGTATTTTCAGGGTATTAAGGTCGCTCAGTCTAGCTCAGGTATTGTGATCTCACAACGGAAGTATGCCTTAGATATTCTTAAAGAGACAGGGATGACAGGTTGTAGACCTATTGACACTCCGATGGATCCGAATTCTAAACTTCTGCTAGGACAGGGAGAGCCTCTTAGCGATCCTGCAAGATATAGGCGGTTGGTTGGTAAATTAAATTACCTCACAGTGACTAGACATGGCATTTCCTTTCCTGTGAGTCAGTTTATGGATTCTCCATGTGATAGTCATTGGGATGCAGTTGTCCGCATTCTTCGGTATATAAAATCAGCTCCAGGAAAAGGCTTATTGTTTGAAGATCGAGGCCATGAGCAGATTGTTGGGTACTCAGATGCTGATTGGGCAGGATCACCTTCTGATAGACGTTCTACGTCTGGATATTGTCTCTTAGTAGGAGGAAATTTGGTGTCTTGGAAGAGCAAGAAACAAAATGTGGTTGCTCGGTCTAGTGCAGAAGCAGAATATCGAGCAATGGCTATGGCCACATGTGAGCTAATTTGGATCAAACAGTTGCTCAAGGAGTTGAAATTTGGTGAGATTAGTCAGATGGGACTTGTGTGTGATAATCAAGCTGATCTTCATATCGTGTCAAATCCAGTGTTCCATGAGAGAACTAAACACATCGAGATTGACTGTCACTTTGTTAGAGAAAAGATACTCTCGGGAGATATTGCTACAAAATTTGTGAAGTCGAATGATCAGCTTGCTGATATTTTCACCAAGTCCCTCACTGGTCCTCGTATTAGTTATATATGTAACAAGCTCGGTACATATGATTTATATGCACCAGCTTGAGGGGGAGTGTTAGTTTCATTGTATAAATAGTAGTAAATAACCTTAATCCTGTATGTATTAGGAGTAGGATATGTATTGTATATATATAGGGCCCATAAATCCAAATTTATGTTAGCCACAAAAAATGGTGTTTTTTGTTCCATCTAACCAAATGAGTATTGTTTCACATAGATATTATTTCACCGTGGTAGATACAAAAAGTATGTATTTGGTATTCACTGAACATTGATAAATATCATCATTTCCCTAGCCTGACTAAACTCAATTAGCACTTAGCAGAGTGTCAAAACTTAGCCTAAATAATTGAATCAAAGATGATATGAGGGTTATGTGATGGAGAACTCTTCCCCAAAGTTCTCCAATGTAACTATCAACAAAAAGCATAACTTGTCAATAACGCCATGTATACATGATTTCCCCCAATCATTTACGAGACCAACTTACAAGTCACAATGTGGATTTACAATCTAAGAATGAAAATTCAAGAAGAGTAACCCATGCTCGGCTTCTCTTGAAAGAACTATACCAAAAAACCATGTACAAAGGAGCTCCAACATTCACGTTTACTAAAGTTGAACCATGCTTGGTGCAAATATACTTTTACCAAACAAACAAAAGTAGGAAGTAATCATTATCTAACCAAATAACAAACTTACATCGACAGCATCAGTACCCTTATCCATAAGATCAATCTTTGTCAGAACACCAAATGTCCTTTCCCCTGAGGCAAGAAGACTTTCAGTGTTAAACGGCAATATTTATCATCTCATTTACCAAAATACTCTTGAAATAACAATTTATAATTCAGACTATCTCAAAAAGTAAGACCTAGCATGGTCTATTGGATTGTTACACAAGATAACACAAAAGGAAAGAGTGGCAAATGCAAAAAGATAATGATTCAAGCAAAAAATCTAGCTACATTATTTGCTCAATCAATAATAATTTAAATGAGACCGAAACCCAGAGTTTCCTAATATGCACAAGATACTAAGATTTGGTCTTAAATACTGTTGGATTCAATGTGTACAAGAAAAAATTATTTCTCTTCTCAGTTCTATTTTTAATTTCTTGTTTCATCTTTATTTTCCATGAAATCCAAGTCTTCTTCCTCTTGCTTTGTCGCATTTAATGGTTATATTGCATGAGAAATGTGCATTACTTATCAGGAAGAAAGGGACGTATAAGAGTTCACGGATATCGAACATAACTTGTCCATAATAATTGGTAACATTAATCCTCTTACTTTCAAGAGAGCCACATAACATGTGAAAGAAATAGAACAAAAACAAAACCCAAGAACTCTATCATCACTGTCAACGTGGATAACTATTTTATGAGGCAACGAAAAAGCGCATATTTTAATGTGCTTACCTTGTACACAATGATGTTAAAATAATAGAAAAGTCAACGAAATAGAGATAAGAACAGAAAAAATAAAAGTGAGAAAGAAAAGTTTCTTAGAAGCATGCAGCATTCCAATCTATTTCTGAATTCCAGCTTCTGCTCAGGTGAACAATTTGCAAAACAATAATTAACTAAACCACATAAATTGACTAGATCCAGCTATTTGACATCAATCAAAATATACATAACTGATCAAATATAGCAAGCAACCTAGAGAAAGAAAAAGGCGAAGAAGAGGACATGTCTGAACTCTAACCTTTAGGGTCTACTTCGCGAGAAATCTTAATAGCATCCGATGTTGCAAGATCTTGATTCGCAGGAGAAACAGCAAGAATAATGCAATTTGGCTGCAATGTAAAAACAATGGAATAAAAAAGACCACCCGCACATGAAGAAGTAATTGAGATTCTTAAAAGCCAATATATTTACCAACATCTTAAATCAAAAACTAAACTGCTCATAATGTATGGCCTCCTTTGGGACAATATAACAACAAGAGAATGGAATAACAATGTTTCATTCCAATTCCATCTTATTAAGTCCTGATTTCATTTTGGAGTAGTGATTCCGAGGTTATTTCCATAGTGCCTTAACGCCAATACGCATTCTATTTTGAAATGGTCATTTATCAGATAAGCAACATTCTATCTCAACCTTTCATAAACCAGCATTTTATGGTCGACCCATTACCCTTTCCCGTGATCCCCTTTCCCTCCCCAAGCTCCAGAGATACCCCTAACCCTCGTCCATCTTGCTAAGCAGTTCCATGCTGATCCCTACCCTTCACTTTTCTACTATTTTCATTCCATTCCAAACTCCTTTAAAGTCAGAGGTGAAGTAGGTTAGGGTGCACCCCAACATTCATTCCGGCTAATCTCAAGAATAGATCCAAATCACACAAATCATTTATTTTTATTCTAATTCCATTCCCTGATACTTCCTTCCACGATTCACCGGATGGGCCGCCAGCGACTTGGTACTGTATTATTGCTTTCCTAAGTGTAAAGACACGTGAACAATGCCCATAGAAAATTTTATCAATAAGAGAAAGTACTACTAACCTTCTCAATATAAGAGCGAACCATGTTTTCAATGTCCGCAACAATGCTCTCAGATTGTCCCTCTAAAAGAATTCAATGGAGAGAATTTGCTTCAGAAATAGTCCATTGTCAGGAAAAGGCAAGAAACAACTAAAACTGATGAGCCAAACAAACAACTCACCAACTGCTACTTTTGTAAGTCCAGGAAGATCGATCAGTGTCAAGTTTACGACTGGCATTGACCAAAATCAAAATTCAGATGTCAGAAGCCAGAGGGAAAAAAAACAGAAATATAGAACACGGAAGAACAATTGCAAATTGTGTCTATTAGGGACTTTCTCAAAAATTATATGATGGAAAAGAGGGACACAACTGGCACCAACAAAATGCTGCGACTCAAATTAGAGGTATAGCCCAACAGGAAACAAAGGACAAAAACACCAATATTCAACAGCAAGTAGATTTTCACAAGTGATAAAATTTTGAAAAGCTCTCCACTAAAGTATAGACCACAATTATGGTCAGCAGCAAAGCTGTCCACTACATGAGAATTTATCCAAGATGCTTTAAGCCTTTAACTGTCCAGTAAATACTCAGATGGGGAGTTTGTTAATTGCATTAGCTGTTGCAGAAATATTCGCCTCACGTTTCAGTAAAACAAAGATCAGTATAATTCTGAATTTCAAATATATACCCCGAATACAAGGTTCAAGTACTTATTTTATTTAGAGGGTAAGTTCAAGTACTGCTTTGTCAACACAAGCACATAGCTTTCAACCTTATACTGAATTACAATACACCATTGCTAATAGAGAAAGCTAAATTCTCTTCGTACCGTTTGGAGAATATATACTGAGATAAATTGGGACGCTGGAGATCTGTTTAGAACGGCCTGTCTCTCGATCAGTCTCGTCAGCAATCTCCTTTCTCACGGCAGCTGAACAAAAGATACACAGGATTTAAAAGTCAAAAGGACAATAAAGCAAGGTGATTAATGAAGATGACAAGTATGCTAAAGTATATCAGGTGATACATGTGGAAGGTGAAAATTAGGACTGCATAAACAATGATGGTATATATTGTCTAGCGACTCACCAAAATCAGTAAACCTCTTCCTTGGAAGGTGTCCAAATTCTGCATATTCTCTACCCTCATCTATCCGATGAAGCTGTAGGACAAGGGGTCGACGAGTGACAATACCTGCACATGATATGTTAATAGTATTTCTTGTGATCTGGCATTGATAAAAACTTCATGTAAACAGCACTAATAATGAACGCATTATTTTTACCGGATCCACGAGGCAAAAAATCCTTTCCAACAATGCTCTCAAGCACTGAAGACTTCCCAGAGCTCTATAAGCCATACAGAATATGAAGTTAAGCAATGCTATTAAACCAGCAAATCATTACACCAAGAGTGTTCAGATGACATTAAGCACACATTAATTTTGTTTGACACATGTAATCAGACCAAAACATATGACAATCCACTGCTACAAAACGATCACAGCACAGAATAACATATATTAACTCAAAAGGAATTGATAAATGCACATAACACAAGCAGAAACACAGAGAGCTAAAGTATCCTATATCCATGCACTATCGCAGTAACGTCAAGCAGCTCATAGATCTTCTACTGCACATGTTTTCACATTAGACGCTTGTACGTTTTAATGGACTACAACACATCATCAGATACGCCAACATGAACTAAAATTCCCTACCAACAGAAGCTACAACCGACTCCTTCAAGAATTCACAAATAGATCGGAACCCTAGATTTCGAGAAAACACTTATTTCATCATGAACTGCATATTATCAAACTAACAAAAGATAAGCAAAGATTAAGAAATCATGTTCGAGGACAATAGATACAGACGCAGTAAAAGGAAGATTCTAGAAATTAAAGTAACAGAAAAAAAAACAATAGAAAGATAATAATGGTACAAAACACAGATCTGAATCGAACGAATAAGGAGATCGGAGAAACCTGGCCACCAACGACGGCGATGGAAGGAAGGGCGTCCCAGAGAGTAGGCAATGCACTCTCTTCACCGTGATCGCCAAGGGCTGTACAAGCTCTCTGTAATCTGTTAACCAACTGTATGAGATTCTCCATTGATCCGAGTCAAAGATCGGCAACTTGACTCAGGTAACGACTGAAACAATATAATCAGCACCGCCGGCGATTTGGTAATCGATCGATAGATCGGCAATGAATTGAAGAAAGGAGAGAGAAGTGGGCAACGGGTCGACTTTAGAATTTGAAATTGGAAAGTTTCCTTTATTATTGGATGTATAACGGAGATAGAAAATTTAAACGACGGACCGCGTCGACGTCGGTTGGGTTCGATAATAAGTAAATAAATTAATCAGAGACTTGTATGTCAGTTTTCACAACTTTTGGGGCCTTAAGGCACCGTGCCGTCCGTGTTGAATGTTGCTCTATCAATTTCCTTTAACGAACTTGTTCACTTGTGTTAAGGTAATGTATCTTTTTCTTTTATTTTTTGTTGAAGTTAAGGTTATGCTTGATACAGAGAAAAGATATTTTGTTTGGTCTAAGCTTTATTTGTTAGGTTACAAGTTGATTAATGAATGTCTTCTCTTTCATTTGTTGCGCTGTTTCTTAAACTTTGACATCTAGATATAGCATCGAATTTTATTATTATTATTATTATTATGTGTATCTAGTATGGCTGTCCAACGGGACGGGACGAGACGAAATTAACGGGATGGGACGGGACGGGACGACATTTAAGCGGGACGGTAGCGGGACGACATTTAAGCGGGACGGTAGCGGGACGGGACGAAACGGGACGGGACAAACGGGACGAAACGGTCGTCCCATCCCGTCCCGCTAACAAACGGGATGGGACGGTTCGTGGGCCTTAAGGGTTTTTTTTTATTAAAAAAAACGTCTAGTTTTTTAAAAATTGCTATGTTTTTAAAGTTTGCAACAGCTAGATTTTTGGCTTTTTTAATAAACTTAAATGTTACTATGTTAAAACTAAAATTAGAAACTAAGTAAAGAATTATAAAATATTAAAATAAAAGACTTGTAATGAAATATTCTAGTAAATATAAATTTATAATAGAGTTATAATTTATTTAAGACAATTCATAAAAATAATTCAACGCTTAGAGCCTTTTATTTTATTAATAGAACTTTCAAATCTCAAATACAAATATAATTCTTTTGAAAAGCACCTAATCTATGCAGTCACCTTTTAGGAAGGGTTCTGTTTGAATTAGGCCTCTTAGTAGCCAATTACAAATCATCATACTAATATTTGTAAGCTCCTATATAGCTTCTTCGTAACTTATCAATAATATCTCTCGGACATTCTACTAGAATTGGCAATGTTGATTGATGTTCCATGAGCTCCATGTCGTCATCGCTCCCAGTGGTTAGTATCCCATTGTATTCTTCTTCTTCCCTAGTGGTTAATTTTTCAAAATAAGATTTATTCTTTGTGAATTAATCCAATCTCAGAATAATACGGAAATCTCAAGACTGTCCTCCGCTAATGAATGTCTATGATCTCCAATTTGAAATCTTGCCGCGCTGAAAGCACTCTCCGATGCTACTGATGATGCTTGAGTACCCATGATATCTCGGGCAATAATTGAAAGTGTTGGAAAAGCCTTGACACGCTCCCTCCACCATAACAAAAGTTGTTCATTGCCTTCTTCGTCTTTAATATTTTCCAATCCTTGATTAAGATAAAAATCAAGTTCGTCATCAATAGAGGAATCAAACCTGTTATATCATCCATATTTTCCCATAAAACTTCTGCTCCAGATTTAGAAGTAGAAGGAGCAGTTTCAGTACCAGTTGTATCCATAGATTTATATTTATCAAACATTGATCTAGCATAAGAATATATGCTAGCTTGGCAGTTTTCGAGAGATGGTTGTTCATTTTCTTGAATTTCTAAATTCTCATAAATTTTACGAACAAGTCCCTTTGCACCTCTTAGTTTTAAAGATGGGTTAAGTAGAGTAAAAATTAAATAAACTTCAGGAATAAGGGAAAAATACTTTTTAAATTTTAAAATTATTTTTTTAATGGTCGGTGCATAAGTTGGATTTGTTTTATACTTACCAAATACAATAGAAATTCCACAAATATACCATAATATTTGTGTAACAGTAGGATAATATATACCAGAAAATTGTTTTGTAGCATAATAAAAATTTTCTAAAAAATTAGTAAGCTCTCTCATCGCATCCCAATTAGAATCAATAATTTGATCAATAGGGTAAGCATTATGCATATTAAATACCTGTTGGATAGGCACCCGATAATCATAAGCAACTTTAAGCATTTCATAAGTAGAATTCCACCTAGTACAAACATCTTTTGGAAATTTTCTAAATGGAAGGCCAGCACTAGCACATTATTGAGCAAATTCACGAATTCTACTTTGTTTATGAGCACGAAAAATATAGTTACAAGCATGTTGTATTTTACTACAAGCATCAGAAAATAAATTAAGACCATCTTTTACAACCAAGTTAAAAATATGGCATGCACATCTAACATGAAAAATTATTGGATTAATTGGACAAAGTCTACATTTTAAGCTATTTGCCGCGGTTGTGTTAGCAGAAGTATTATCTAAGGTGATAGTTAAAACTTTATTAACGAGTCCATAAAAATCAAGTATTTGTAGAACAGTAGTTGCAATATATGCTCCAGTGTGTTTTGAATCAACAAATTTATAACCAATAATACGTTTTTGCAAGTTCCGGTGATGATCAACCCAATGACATGTAACAGTTAAATAATCACAACCATTAGGACTACGGCCTATATCAGATGTGATAGACACTTTACAATTTAAGGGAAAAAATACACAACGAATATACTGAAGATATTCGGTTTGAAATTTAAAAACATCATTTCTAACTGTGGTCTTAGGAAAATCTTGAAAAGCAGGGTTATAAGTTTCTTGTATATAATGCACAAAAGCAGGGTGAGAAGGAAAAGTAAAAGGTAAGCACAGACACCCACCATTTTTGCTAAGTTCTCACGATTTCTATCTTTGTTATATTTGCGTAAAACATGACCAGAAGCAGGGTCAAGTTGTTGTTGAATTTGATTAGAACCAGATCCACTAGGAGTGCCAGAATTGATGGTAGGATCTATAATTTTTTCGGCTTCTATGTTAGCTTGTATCCATAAAGCTTTGTGATCCTTTCTTAAGTGTCTAGTTAAACCCCTCGTCCCACCACTTATTGAGTGTGCAAATTGTTGCTTACATTTTTCACATATAGCACGATGATTGACTTTATCATGTTTAAAAAAAATTCATACAAGTGATGGTTTAGGACATTCAGCCTTAGGCTTACCCCTTACAGGGGGTACTGAGGGTAAAGCTCCAGACTAAGATTGACTTTGAGTTGGAGCTTGTGTTGCGGGACTAGTGGGTGTTTCATCCAATTCTTCTTCCTCATTTTCTTCATCCTCAAAAAAAATATCATTGCCAAATTGTCTTTGTAAAGTTTCATGATCTAATTATTCTCCGACATGAACATCATAAAATGTGGGGAGATGGGAAAATAAAATTTTATCAACATGAGTCATTTCATCAATATGCTTTCTAACTCTAGGTCTAGGAGAAGGGTTAGGATTAGGATTACTACTACTTTCACCTTTACTACTTTTTTAAAAATACCAAATACATTTTTAGGTGCCATAATTTAAATATGAAACTAAATTTAAAAAGCTAACACAAATGAAATACGAAAATATAACACGTAAAGAAAACACAAAAATTAAGTACTAAAATGATACGCAAAAATTATATATTAAAATTAAGAGATGGAACGAGTGCACCGTGATTAAATATTGAAACTTGAAGAAATTGCCCAAAATATTGCTCTAATTACTTGACGAATTAATTTGAAGCTTAAAAGTTGCTCCAAAAAATTTGCCCAAATACTTGAAAGTTGAAACTTGAAAGATATCACTTGATACTTGATAGTAACAAAATTGAGAGAATAATATAGAATATAGATATAATATTAGAATGTAAGAGATTGAAGAGAGAAGATTGATTTTTTGTGGGAAAAAATGAAGAAGAATGGGGGTATTTATAATAGAAAATAGGGCCAAAGTGTAATTTAATAAACTTAGGAGTTATATTAAAAGTTTGGGTGGTAGGGGTGTTTTGGGGGGTGTAGGGGCTGTTTAGACCGTTGGCGACAGCTATTTTTGCCATTTAAGTCGTTGCCCAACGACTAGTTTTTTTTAAAAAAAAAAATAATTTCTGGCGGGACGCGAGACGGGATGAGGGACGGGACGGGACAGGACGGGACGAAACGGGACGAAATGGCCGTCCCGTCCCATCCCGTGTCCCGTTTAACATTGTGAGCACGTGATTTTTGTTTTACGCGACAATCACTCCAAAAGAAACAAAAATAATAGCAATTGGTCTTGCTGTACAATTTTTGGATTTTTACGTGGCATGTTGTTAATTATTTATGATTTTTCCCATTTTTATTTTTTATTAAAACAAAATACAAAGAATGTGTGTCATGCGTAGTTTGAACCGTAATCCGGTTATTAAATGGAAAATCATAAAATATGCATTTTGTCCTAATTGTTGCCTTGTTTAATTTTACCTACTTTTAACATTTTAATATGCGTGAATAATTGTATTAAGTGTTTAATTAATGGAGTTTAATTTTGTTTAATTAGGTTTGTTTCAAAAAAAATGAAAGAAAAAAAAAAGTGCAAAATTGGCCTGAAATCAGGTTTGGGCTTGTTCCCATTCAAAATCCGAGTCCCAAAACTAGCCCAAAGCATGTGCTTGCCCCGGTCCAGACCAGCTGACCTCAAGAGCGTCCAAACGACGTCGTTTTGATCTGGTCTGATCTGGG